CGGTCTGTCACCACCTCTATGTATTTCTTTTGTTGATGAGTTTGTTTTAGGGGACAGGCAGCGGGTACAGGTCCTCCTCACCATTACGCTCATCGGAGGCACTTGGCAAAGAGGGTTTATAGGGTCGACGGCCTGGCATGCGGATGCGAGAGGCGGACATGTTGGTCACCTCCTCTCTGCCATTCTGTCGCCTGTAGTTTATATTTTGGTTTGTTGTTGGTTTTCTACTGTGGTGGAGGTGTTGCGGGACGGTATTTAGACCGGGTGGTAGTGGGTTTGATTTTGTTGGACGAGGAACCTGGTTGGGTCGGTCTCTTGCTCGGCTTCGGCTACGCTTGGTGCTGGTTGGCTTCATACTAGAGGGGCTACGGACTTGGACCGGGGAGGGCGCTGGGCTGTTTGATGGTCTTGTAATTAGTTTCCGTGCGGGCATGACTCGGGGATGGCAGGTGCGGGACCGTAGACTTAGTTAGCCTAGGATTAGTGGTATGCCGGTTAGTGGTATCCCTGTGCTGGCGGAGGCTTGTCATAAGCCAGTGTTAGCGGTACGAGTTTAAATAAAATTAGATTGACTTCTAAGTACTTTTCCAACTTATTACTTTAACGAATATAAAACACCTTTACGATCTTTATCTTCATTGCAACAATATCATTACGACAAGAAGCGCTTATCACAAAGACGAGTTAGAGAAAGCTCACGATAGGCGTTTCCGATAGAAGACAAAGGTCTTGTACTATCGGTAACGTAGGTAGTGGCCTAGAGCTATCATAAGACAAAGAAAGGAGGAGACAGAAAAGATAAGTATCGTTCCCCATCGCCAAGAACTAACTATCTAAAAGGGGATCATTACAACGCATGTACCGCCACAATACTGCAGTCTTCCACCCCTCTGCTGTCAAACGATTCAACCCAAATGACAACTCCATGTTCCCTGGAACAATCCACTCTCGACCTGCACCTATCATCATCGATAAGAAAGATGAATGAGAAGTCAAAGAAATCAGAGACCACTGCCTTTAGCATGGAAATGATCAGTTCCTAGTCAAATGGAAAGAATATCCAACAAGCAAAAACAGCTGGAAACCACTGGAAGGACTAGAGCACACTATAGATATGGTGAACAAATGGTGGAAAGACAACATGCTAAATGAATCCCTCCCTCCAATGATCATTTACATCACAATGTGCTGGACACCAACGATGCCTGAGACGGAGTGATGGCAAATGGAACTCGAAGCAAGGGATGGGTTTTGGGTACCATACTTTGAGTCTGAATTCGAAAGTAGTGATGAGGAAAATCAAGCTATGGAGCAGGCTCTCGACAACCTTATCTGATCACCAATCACCATCCTAATATCATAACGATATCAAACTATGTGGAACTCAATGTGAGGCTGCAACAACAGATTGTTAGACTGTTGTTGAACCGCAATGTTATCCAACTTGAAGACTACTTCGAAATCCTCCGGATAGACTACTGTCCTGATTGCGACCACGCTTGGGTTGATGTACAGCATGAATCTGGTATTTGTGACTACTGTGACTTACATTTCTTTGAGTCTAAATGTTTTCTTAGGATTTCTTCTTGTCCCTGGTGTGACACTTATGATGAAGAAGAAATGGCGGAAATTGAAGCCTTTGATTTCTCAGACTCCACTTTTGATAATTATTAGGTTTTGTTTGTTTAAACAGTTATTTTGCTTTGGAGAATGTAACCGGTACGAGTACTCTGTTATTGGTTTTATTTTATGTTTTGTTTTAAGTATCGCTTTGATACTTGGTTTTGTTTTATGTTTTGTTTTAATTATCGCTTTGATACTTAAGTAGTTTTACCAAAGTGTATTGATTGATACCTTTGATTAGTTTTGTTCAAGCTAGACATGAACAGATTTGTTTATTTAAAGACTGCCTGTTTCTACGATAGAAAAGGCAGACTTCGACAGATAGTATTTTAATATACTTGGTTGAATGGTTACTTCTTTGTTCCTCAGTACACCCTCGAAGCCTTTTTTAGTTCTCAGCTCTTGCCTCCTCTCTGGAAGAGTATTCCACCTGCCAACTATCGTATCTATTACCGATAACGTGATTAGTACCTTGCGAACACGTTATAGCGGCGCCTGGTATGTGGAGCTTGGGCAGGACTGGTTGGGGGGGGAGAGGCACCTGCAAGCACCGGTCGGGCCTGCGTCAGGTTGGGCGAGGTCTAATTAAGTGTTTCCAGTCCGGCTTGGGTTATTGGGTGAAGCTGCTGAGTGCTGTAAAGCTCTCCGACGGACTGGTTGGCTGATTGCCACCTGTGCGGATAGTGAGTTGTGACCACCTGGTTGGACTTGTTTGGGTCTTACATGCTGGGTTTTGTGGGGTTTGTTTAGTTTCTTTGGTTTGGTTCTGGGTATGGCAGGAGGAGACAAGGCACCACAGGTGGAAGATAGGCACCTCTGACCTTTACAGTCTGTCACCACCTCTATGTATTTCCTTTGTATATAGTGGTTTTGTTTGGGGGACAGGCAGCAGGTACAGGTCCTCCTCACCAGTACGCTCCTCGGAGGCAACCAGCAAAGTGGGTTCATAGAATCGATGGCCTGACATGCGGGTACGAGAGATAGACATGTTGGTTACCTACTCTCTGCTATTGTGTCGCCTGAAGGTTTAGTTTGTGTGTTTGGTTTGATTTTCTACTGTGGTGGAGGTATTGTGGGACGGTATTTAGACCGGGTGGTAGTAATTTCTTTTTGATTGTTGGACAAGGAACCTGGTCGGATCGGTCTTTTGCTCGGCTTCGGCTACGCTTACTGCTGGTTGGCTTCATACCAGAGGGACTATGAACTTAGAGCGGGGCGGGTGCTGGGTTGTTTGATGGTCTTGTAATGAGTTCTCGTGCGGGTATGACTTGGGGATAGCAGGTGCGGGACCGTAGACCTAGTTAGCTTAGGATTAGTGGTATACCAGTTAGCAGTATCCCTGTGCCGGCAGGGGCTCATCGTATGCCAGTGTTGGCAGTATGAGTTTAAATAAAATTAGATTGAATTGTAAGTACTTTTCTTACTTATTATGTTAACGAATATAAAAGCACCTTTACGATCTTTATCCCTATTGCAATATTTATTGTTATGCAGAGGAAAGCTCTTCATGGAGAATAGTTAGAGAAAGCTTACGATAGGCATTCCTCATAGAAGACAGAGGTCTTGTACTATCAGTAACGTAGGCAGAGGCCTAGTGCTATCGTAAGATAAGGAGAGAAGAAGAAAGAGAAGAGAAGTATTGTTTCCCGTCGCCAAGAACTAACGATCCGAAGAGGGAAGGTTACAGGTATGTTGACTCTGGCCAGCAAAAAGTACTATCATCTCATCAATTGAGACATTAGTACCTAGTAGCAGGTAAGCTTAACTCCAAAGCTGCAAATGCATATTAAGTGGCTCTAACTTCTTCCACCACTCAGTCATCTTTGTCTGTTGATTGATAGTTTCCTCAGACATGGCGACATGCAAATACCGCTTTATTTACTAGTATCGAGTATAGCCGAGTGGGAGACTTGGAAAGATTTTATGGGCCCAATATTGCCAGCGGTTTAGTAGGCGAACCACTCCCATCATGAGAGTCATTCCAAGAAACCTCCGAAGCTCTCCCCTACTCATGCTATGAGGCCATTGTTGCTTACTTGTCTGCTTCTTGTCAGCATAAGTATTGGTCGCCTGCACCAATTGGTTGATAATCTAATCATCCCAAAATAGAGCAAAATAGGTGAGAGGTGATAATACTGTTTTGTCTGGCACCCAGGAAGTACTTTAATGCTCATAGTACTCCATGGGCCTAAACGTTTCTGATGAAGCTGTAATTGAATTTGATGTAGCCGCAAGTGAAGGATCCTCTTATTTCCTCCTATTGGTAGATTTTTCAATGGAGTCATGATTCAGAGACTTTCGAACATGTTTGCTTGGTACCATTATAGCAGATGCAATAGTGGGTGCAAAGAGCTGATAGTGGAAATAATTGGTACCATGATCTGACACAGATTTAGATGCTTGCTCAGTATATGAGAAATATTTGACATAATGGACCCTGTGACTATCTAGCCAACAGAGTTAAACCTTTCACGCTAATGCATGAGAGAGATTTTATCAGATCTCATAAAACCAGGAGATAATATCCTCGCTAATTTCCTTAAGCCTTTCCATAATATTCTCCTCCGCTTCCTCCACCTCTTCCTCTACTATTCTCACATATACAGACTCCTCAGCTCTTATAACCTCCAAGTCTGCTTCACCCTAGATCCTTTGTTGCTTCTCCTGCTCCTCCAATAACTCTTCCAACTCTCCATCTATCTCATCTAAAAATGCTGTGGTAGCTTCAATATCACATGACAACACCGCTGTTGTCAGGGTTTGTGGTAACACAGGTGTGGAAATTGATCCATTTGAGGTTATACCAGCAATGTACTTTGCATGAGCATTTTTAACCGCATGCTGACAGATACTCTGAATGGCAGATTTTGAGACTTGAAGTTGCTCTGCAATCTGACGAACACTAGGCAGCTTTTTTGAATTGCATTGATACTGAAGTGCGAGGATGGCCCCCCAACGGGTTGGAGTAATTGTTTTGCCTATTTGGTTTATTAGCAGGTCGTGTTTTCCCAACTGAGTTCAATTCTTACCAGTAACTGTCTTCCATGCTGCTTGTATTTCTGGGCGCATATTGAATAAAAAATGAATACTCTTAAATGTGAAAATTATTATATAAAGAAATTTTATTATATATAGGAAAGAAAGGAGAAGTAAGGGGGGGTTGGAGGACTCGCGTTGTTGTTTTTTCTTGTGTTAGGGCAGGGTTAGGGTTGTGGGCTGTCCGCATAGCAAATGAACCAGCGAGTACAGTACCGTACTCACCAACGAACGCTCGTGATGTTAATCTGATAAGATAAAGGAACAATGATACCGTTAGCGGGGTCTGTGTCTCGCACAAACTTTTTCGTCGCTAGAAACACTCGAGCCTCACCCCACTACGACCGGGACAGTCAATCCCACCAATTGCTACAACCGCTCCCCACCAATCAACTAAACAAGAAGAAAAAAGGAACTATAACAGTTGAGAATGTCGAAACGCCCCGCTGACCCGCTGGTTTCGCCGGACAGCGGCCTCAAAAACCGCTCCCGCGAAACTGCGGATGAAGGCACTGATCACACTAGATACCCACCAGAGATGGGCGAATTCGAAGACAATTACGAAGACGAATATGAGGAAGACGAAGAAGTTCTTGAAGCGGGCGATGAAGATGACGAACAGGGTGGTGCACAAATTGGTGGAAAGGGTGGAGCTGGGAAGGATAACATGGAAATAGACCAACAGGTGTACATACCCTCGCGGAGGGTTCTGGGTAAAGATGAAATACTGGAACCGGACCCGACGGCGTATCATATGCTGCATAGCATGAATGTCAACTGGCCGTGCCTAAGCTTTGATGTGCTGCAGGATGGACTTGGAGATGAGCGACGGGGATACCCACAGATGGTGTACTTGGTTGCTGGGACGCAGGCTGCTAGAGCAAAGGATAATGAAGTTACGGTGATGAAATTGAGTGGGCTGCAGAGGATGCAGCAGTGTCTGTTTCCCTTCCTCACCCGCCTCCCCAGCTTATAGCTAACAATCAAAATAGCGAAAGAAGACGAGGACGAGGACGACGACGCCTCCGACACAGAGGACGACCCGATCCTCGAATCTCGCTCCCTCCAATGCCCCACTACGACAAACCGTATCCGTGCCTCTCCGCATGCCCACCATGCCGCTTCAATGGCTGAAACGGGTGATGTGTACATCTGGGATCTGTCGCCGCACTACAGGTCTCTCGAGAGTCCGGGCACCGCCATCCCCGCGAGTGCGAACAAACCCACGGCAACGCTCAAGATGCATAGACATGTAGAAGGCTACGCTATTGATTGGTCTTCCAATCCCAGAGATGTCATGGGACGGATAACTACTGGGGATAACTCCGGCAAGATATTCATTTCTGCGAGAAAAGAAGGCGGTACCTGGTCTACAGATAGTAGCCCGCTGAAGGGGCATACAGGTAGTATCGAAGAGCTCCAATGGTCTCCCAATGAGCGCCACGTCTTTGCCTCCGCATCTTCGGACGGAACAGTCAAGATCTATGACGCCCGCGCTCAGACCAAGAAGCACCAATTGTCAGTCGACGTCTCGTCTTCAGATGTCAACGTTGCATCCTGGTGCCGGGCAGTACCCCACCTCCTTGCCACCGGCGCCGACGACGGAGTCTGGGGCGTCTGGGATCTCAGAACTTTCCCTAACACACTCAAGGGTAAACATGTATCCGCTACTGCCAGCTTTACTTTCCACCAACAGCCAATCACTAGTATTGAGTTTCACCCTACTGAGGATAGTATTGTTTCTGTTGCCTCCGCAGACTCGACTATTACGCTTTGGGACTTGAGTGTTGAGTTGGACGACGAGGAGAGTAAGGACAGTGGCGGCGTAGAGGATATTCCGCCCCAATTGTTGTTTGTCCACTATCACAAGGACGTTAAAGAGGTGCATTGGCAGAGGCAAGCACCCGGGGTGGTTATTGGGACTGGCGGTGAAGGGTTTAGGTACTTTGTTCTTCTATATATATCCTTGCTTGGCGTGATTGTCCATTGGCTGACTTGTTATCCTTCCCCGGCCAGTGTTTTCAAGACCATCAGTGTCTAAGTTTATTGTCGGAGGGGGGGTTGACGGGTAGGCATAGCCCGCGCGGCGTTATTCTTTATAAGTCGCGAAAGATTTTCTAGCTTGTGTTTGATATACTATTGATCGATCTCTAGAATAAATGGCTAATTATGGCGGAGAGCTTCTTGTTTGTCCCACGAACTATATTCTGCAGTGATGGCATCTTTCGGTGTATATCCAGGGAATTAGTGTCACCAATGTTAGATTTGAACCAACCACTCTTACCTAGGTTTCTAGTGGAGGCAGTGCGAAATTCCTTTTATTGTACTAATTCTATGGCACTCTCAGCTGATGTGGTACAGACTGTGGGAATGTATTTCTCGGGAGAGCATCATGGATCATCACTCATTTAGCGTTCCGGCGTGATGCGAAGCCTTCACGATACCATATTCTAATCTAGGTCGCTCAATTGGCGATAAAAATGAAACGGGGTCTTCACCTCGCGTATTGTAAAAACACCCGGAGAGTGAGGGGAGGGCGGTGGACAAGCCAAAATTTACCATACATTCACAGTTCAAATAGACAAGCTAAGCCATCATACCCCACCATTATAAAAAAAAACAAAGCAAGCGATGTATGGACTTTTATATAGAGAAAAACGAAAAATACTACAAGATTATCAATCTTGCATCTCCATCTCCTCGCTCTGTCCTTCTTCATTACAATCCTCATCCCATAGCCCATCCAATTTAAACTCCTTGGCCCACTCTTTAACGATCTCTTTCTGATCGTCGGTCGTTATGGCAACGGTAGTCGGTTTAACGCCTTGGTTGAGGGTGTTATGGAGTGCGGTCGGGGGATCAACCCAGCCTTGAATCCTTCCATCCCTCAAATCCATTATGACGGCCTTTGCCGCTGCTTCGATGTTGGGGATACCTCCTTTCCCTAATCGCCCACGCTTTCGTGCGACCTGGATTAGGAAGTCTGTTGTGACATCTGTGGTAGTAGTGCCGACGAGGGGAGGGAGGTTGTAAAGGTCGAGGAGTTTGTTGAAGAGGGTCTGGGATGTGGATAATCGGCGGATGAGAAGGGCGACTGCGGGTACCGGGTCGAGGATTTGCTTTGGTGGAACGGCATTTAGGAGGATGAGGCGTGCTTGGTCGTCTTTTGAACCACCCTGACTACTGTTGCCGGGGAAGACGATACCAGGAGAGTCTAGCAGCTTAAGTTTTTTGTCTAGCTTGACTTCCCGTAAGCTAGTAGTGACGCCAGCTTCAGCACCAGTCGGACAGGCGGTTTGTGAGCCACCCAGACGGCCGGTAAGGGCGTTGATAACTGATGATTTTCCAACATTGGGGTATCCAATTACACCCACTGATACAGACCGTTTGAGCTGTTTGGCATGTGCAAATGATTTTAGAGCCTTCAGAAGAGTAGCCGAAGTGCCCTGTGCCGTCAGAGATTTGTGATCAAAAGTTTGGGCATTCGAAGCAGACCCACTCGCCCTTAGCGGCAGGGTCGGGAAGTATCTACAAAGATAATCCAACCACCCTTTCAGCACGGTTGCCGGCACGAGATCGATCTTGTTCAAGATGAGGATTAATCGTTTCTCGCCGCCATCAGCCGCCATCATTTGTCTTTCCACATCGCGGGAACGGGTACTTTCGGGGTCACGGGCGTCTAGGACGTAGAGAATTACGTCGGCGGCATCGACCACTTGCTTGAACATCTTGTCGAAGGCTTTTCGCGAGGTATCTTTTCGAGTACTCTTGGATTCGATATCTGGGATGCCTGTTTCTGAATCTGAATCGTCATCAGATTCGCCGCTGAGGTCACCATGTTCGGCTTCATATTCTGCAGCTCTCGCTCGCGCTGATGCTAGGAGGGCCGCCATTGCAGAGCCTCCAGTCTATACTTATTTAGTAATTTGTTCGAAAAGGGAAATAAATACTTATCACACATGGTGGAACATACTCCAGCATCGGCATCATCTTCATCCATAGCATCGCTATATAACTCGCTGGAGCCCTCATCACCCTCTTCCAGTATCTGCATAGCATCCTCTTTGCCCTCCGCCCCGTCCGCTAACTCCTTCTTCCTCTGCTTTGCAAGCTCTCTCCTTCGCAATTGCTCCTCTTCTTTCAGCCGCCTTCCCTCTTCGATCTCGGAAAGTAAGCGATCTTTGTAAGGAAAGCTATTTGGGATATTGAGTTTGTCATTCTTCTTTTTTCGGTGGAGTTCCGGGTGCTTTTTGGCCTCCTTTCGTTCCTTACGAGCCTTTTCGTTAGAACGCTTCTCGATTTTATGGCGGAGACGAACAGGAACCCGCTTGGACTTCTTTCCTAGAAACTGTTAGGGGATAGCTTGTATCTCGGGATATCCAAGAACTTACTTGGTTTGACCATTGTGAAATATTTTGGGGGTAGCGATGAGCTGTTGCTTGGTTCGAGCGATGGGGAACTTTTTTTGCTGTCAAGAATTTTCCTTTTGTTGGGCGGGGGATTTAAGACGGGTAACTACCGGTGCCGTCTCATTCACCGTATGTGGAATGTGGGGCATCTGAGGGCATGAGCAGAAAAGTTGGGAAGATCTTGGACAATCTATCATAATCTAATCTAATCTTCACTACGTATGATACCGTAGTCAGGTTTACCAGTTCGCCGGAACGCTGCTTGAAAGCGGGCCTTATGCATGCCATAATAAAATTACCGGTATGCCGGGTAACCCAACGGCCAATCCGTCAGACTAAACTCTAGCCTAGCGGTAAATCAGCCTTACAGATAAACCCACCTTTCCAGTTCGACTAGATCCAAATGTTATCTTCTCCGCCAAAACAATGAGTGTCACGAAACTCATCGAATATGTGCTGGAGGAGGTCTCTATTGACGGTTCTGAAGGTATTTTTAACATTCTTTTTCCTTCTCTTCGAGATCCCTGTCATATGACTCTTTTTGCTCTTGGATGGTGGGGCAAGTACGATTCTGCCAGACATGAAATTTCCAGAGAGGAAATCTCTATGAATTGCTTAGGAAGATCGGATGAGATTTCTTCTTGAATAATTGAGCCTCAATACCCTTTTCGTCAAGGCTGGATAATCCCTAATTTTTTGACTCTGGTTGGCGCTGGTTCGAGTCACGCAGCCATTGTTATCCTGAGCATTTTTTCCTTGGTATGGTTGTTGGGGGATGGCTAACCAGAATTTCAACCACCAGGCACGACCATAAAGCAACTCTTTGCCTATGTGACTGAATTCTATACCAAAACCCTTGTACCGAAAGTCGAAATCAATTCTTTATGTGAACCACCACAAAATCCTTGGGGTCCTAGTGCTTCTGGAGGGGGAGGAGGGGAAGGAGAGGCGGATCCTGGGTCCTCGACTACACCGCAGGGTCAGCCTGTATATTGGGGGGTTCCGAACATGAGGGATGAGTTCCAGGATTATGTCTGGGATATCCTACGACAGCAGGGTGATTTTAAGGTTGGGGTCAATGGTGAGGGAAACGAGTTATCATTAAACGAGATTGTCGCCGATTTGAGGAATCAGGCCGAAGGCGGCAAGGAAGAAGCAAATGGGGAAGGGAAAATATGGAGGGTCTATACTTCTGACGAGAGACATTGGAGGACACTCACTGGCCATGGCCCGGATTTGAAGAGGGTGAGATATCTTTTTTTCGAGTCTACTGGATGTCAAGAGCCCTGCACTGACATGCACATGTCAAGGTCCCAAATGCTGTTTTCAAATGCTTAGAAGTAATTGCCAAACACAGAGAACAAGGCCTCATCCAACCGGAATTGACTAAGATCACTGGCCAGGATAAGAAATCCGTTGCTGGGCGTACAACTATTCTCAAGAATTTGGGCCTGATTGAGAAAGTCAGCGTATTAGCAAAAAGTCTCAACACTAGTAAATTAACTCTTACGAAATATGCTCTGCAACGCGATATCAAGCGTCAGGTTGCCCAAGAATCTAAAGAGGTCGTTGTTAAGAAGAGAGGGAAGAAGTTCCTTGATAGCAAGAACGATGCGGCTAATATCGCCTGGACCGGGGCCACCATTGATACCGAGAAGCTAATCAAGGCTATCTTCTCAGAGCTCAAGGGGGCGAAAAACCAGGTCTTGATGCATAGCGATTTAAAACGAAAGCTGGTACGTAAGTAAGATTATCTCTGGAAATGTCTACTAATTGGAAATACTTAGGGTATGGACAAATCCCGATTCCACTGGCGATGCTTCTCTAGAATCCTACGAAAATTGGAGTCCTTGGGCGTCGTAAGAAGAATCAGGGTTCCACTCAAGATCTTGAGGAAATATAAGAAGACGCAGGGCCCTTCTGAGATCGCTATAACTGAGCAGTGCCATGCCCGATGCGTTCGGCTCGTTCGAGAGATGGAGAGGGAAGATTGGTGCAAGGTCCTGACTACTTTCTCTAAGCGGGAATTCGTGATGGAAGACGAGGACGACGGTGAAGCTGAGGGGTCGGAAGACGAAGCTGTTAAAGGTAGTAATAATATTGAAGATGAAGACCCTGCAGTCGCCCAGGAGTTGGGACAGGTCAATGTCGACGAGGCGGTAGAAGAAATTGTTAGAGATCCACCACAGTGGAGAAAGGATAAACCTTTGACAACTACGATCTTTGATATCGTGGATTCTTGTGGGAAAGATGGCATCTCAAGCATGGTACCTCGCGCCAAAACTGATTGATTGATTGATTGATTGATTGATTGATTGATTGCTAACTGAAGTTTAGGACTTGATGTACAGTACTATAGGAAGTTTTTATTACAGGCCAATGGACCAAATTCTTCACCGATTAACTGATTACCCACAGCAATCACAGCCGCCACAACATATGCACCTTGCCATCATTCGTGAAACTGGTATTTCTGGACGCCAGACTCATTACAGGTATTTCAGCTACCGATGGCATCAAGAATTGGTAGCCGAAGGTGTAGCAGTGCAGCCATGGGGGCCCGCGATCAAGAAGAAGGGTTCGAAGCAAGTTTCTCACGGGGCTATAACCCATGTCACGGAGACACCTCTATCCCTTGACAAATACGGGTTTCCAGCTCCTAATACTTCTAGATTTCTGAAGAGCGATGGCTCTGCTACCCTCGCCGAAAGTCAATGGGAGGGGAAGAAGAATGAGCGGCTTGATTCCCTCAAAGCCCAGTTTAGAGTTCTCCGGAATAAAGTAGGCGAAGAGCAATTGGATTGGAAGAATTCTTCACGTAAGAAGCCCAACGAAGACTCGAATTATCGATCAAGAAGCTTACATTTTGGACAGCTCGAGGTGGGAGACCCCGGAAGTATGAGAAGGGGAAAGAGCCATACCTGGCAGCTAAGAGACGCGCAGAGGCCAGACGAATTATCGCCGAGAGGGCTACTGGCTCAGCTGAACCAGGTGGTGCAGACCCAGACGGGATGACGCGAGGAAGGTCGCTTTCAAATGAAACTGAGGGTGGTACTTTAGACGGGGAACCTCCTCCAAAGAAAGCTAGGATCGAAGAGCTTTTAAACCAGGAGGACCCGGAGCCATTATCACCTCCAAAACGACGTGGGCGACCGCCTGGTGTTAAGAATGGCGAGGGTAAAAAAAGACAGGCAGCCAAAAAGCGAGAGAAGAGGCCCAAAGTAATCCCGAAGAGGTCTACGGGGGGGTCGCAGAAAGCCCAGGAGCCTAAAGAACAACAGAAACCACAGTTTGGCCTCATTGGTGCTGAGCCTGAGCGAAATCTTCAAGAAAATCTCGGATCTCTAGGAAAACGCAAGGCCCAAGCCGCAGGTGGGAAAACGGGACGGGCAAAGCGTAGAAAAGAAACCCGCCAAGCAAGTCCTCCAGAAGATGACGGAGTGATAATATATGATTCCATCGTTGTCAGACCAAGTACCGAGCTCGCACCAGACACCCAAGTGATTGATAGTGCGGAACCAGCACTCGCAGGGCCTGCACCAGGGGATATTGAGCAGTCAGTTGGCCACCCTTCAAAAGAACCAGCTAGGGTGGTTGATGGTGTACAGCTAGAAATCGAGCATCTCGATGTCGAAGGCAATGAATCCTATGGTTCAATTGGAGGGATGCTTGCTATATCTCGTCAGCAGGTTGTTCTTGACCTTCTCAAGGAAAATAACGGAGTATTTCCTAGCGGGAACGAACTGCGCCACGCGTATAGCAAGCGATACCAAAAGAGCAATCCTAAGGCGGGGGTTTGCGATCGACGGTTGATTCGGGGCATCGTCCAGTCTCTCCAACGCAGGAAAATGGCGTATCAAATCACATTCGACTTCACCAGCTCGCGGAGTATCCTTATCACTAAAAAGTTGTTAGTCGACTCTCGCTTGACCCCGGATTCACCACTCGTGGATGATATGGTTAGGGAAATGATAGCAGCAGACGGAAACCTTTGGTTCCCTCCGAACACTGAATTGCATGAGGATATTCAAGAGCGATTTGTGCAACCTCCTAGCTGGTCGTTGTCAAAGCCTAGAAAATCCGAGGAAGTGGAATTCGACCGAGTTTACCCAACCTCAGTCTCGGAACTAAAACAGAAGCGCGAGGCACGAGCGATAGAACGTGCTGCGAATAAGGCTGCAAAGTTAAGTGTTATTGCCCGACCCCGTGGCCGCCCACGCACGTATCCCGTGGATGAAGTGTTTAATCACCGGGCGGGTGGAAAGTTTACAGATCAGCAGAGGGAAGAGGCAGCGATTCGGCGTCGGGCAGAGCTTAAAGCCGAGAAAGAACTGATGAGATTGAATCACAAATATCGGACTAAGGCCACCAATATCGACCTTTTTGATCAATCTCCAACAGTCGATGGCCTACCGAGGAGGGTTTGGTGGAATGAATTTGTTGAGAGAGATTTGAACGAGCCGAGAGAAACTGATCCTTTTTTGCAGCAGATAAATGAGATTGAGAAGTGGGAGAAGGCAGTTGGACCTGAGGGACTTCGCATGATGGCTAGGAAAGCAGGTGGCATGGTCATGGTTAATCTGTTTGCGCCTCCTGTTGAGAAGGGCGATAATTTTACACAGGCACCGGTAGCAAATATGGATAATCGTATTACAGCTCCGGATTTCAGTGCGCCGCTACCTTCTGGGCCGAAGAAGCGTGGCCCCAAACCAAGGCCTAAGAAGATCCGGAACGATCCAGTTAAGGCACGTACTATAGATGTGTTGATAGGAGAGCAGCCTGCGAAGAGGAAACGTAGGCGCCCGGGGACATACGAAAAACCGTTAACCAGGCGTGATAGAGCAATGGCAGCCATCCGCGATAACCAATTGAAGCCATCTGATACGGAGCTTTTAACAGAGCGTAAGAATCAAAATCAAAATCAGTTGCTTTGCTTAGCTGACGTCCTTGCTGCGCAGTTCCGCCTAGGAGATTCCAGTTCAGGAATCAGTATATCATACCCAAGGAAGACGAAGATACTCTCCTGATCGCTGTGATTATCGTCAGAACGATATTCGGTGGTTGGGATAGGAAGATCCATTGGGGTCTTCTCACAAAAGCCCTCCCTCAGCATTCCGTGATCACCTTACAGCGGCGTTGGCCCCGTGTCCGTGACACTCACAAAGCGCATATGAAAAAGCTTCAAGCTGAGTTTGAGGATATGTTTCTTGAGGCTTACGAAAGTGGAGAAGTGCCGGCTTTTGATTTGGACGATCCTTCGTCGTTCGACTTGATGTTTCATGTGAATTGGTTTCGTGAGAATCTTGAGTTACCTGTGTGAGTTTATCGTATGTCTGGATTGCCGATGCAAGAGTTGCTAATCACTTTGGGATAGAGCTCAAGCGGTTCCAGAACTTCCTGCTACTCGTGAGGCCTTTGACGCTCAGTATGACCTGCGGGTGGAGCCACCAAAGCCGTGGAGAAACGACTACCATAATCCTCTCATGACTATGGGACATAGGGTTAATCACTTTATGTGCCATTCTTATGACTTGCCCTTGGAGGACGGAACGGGCAAAAACAAAGATGAGGATGGAAAAGAAGTGGAATACATCAAGTCGGTGATAAAAGTAACTTCCCGTTCAATTCCTCGTTATCCGGTTCCTCGACTTACCTGCTTTTAGGCAAATATCGTCACCGATTCCCACGACGACAATCCAAAGAGAGCCTTCGAAATATTACACTCTTGTCCCGAGCGTGTTGTCGACGCTGCGTTTTACAATCTCTCCATCAGTAGAGCGATCTCGCATAAAAAGAGAGACCGTCTTAGGGCAACTCCGGGGCCTAATTATGAGTTTACAGACAAATTCCACATGGCACTTAAAACGCCTATGGACGAAAGTCTATTTGCTCAGGCCGTTGCATACGAGCAGCATCTCGAGGAAAACTTTTCCGAGTACGAAGCAATTGAGATATCCCCTCTGACCAATGATGGATCCATGGCGTGTATTTTCGCCATGGTTGCTTCTCGTAGGGTACGGGCCTGCTTCTTCACTATACCCCGAATATCGGTAACTGACTTTCTCCATAGATTCTATTGGGGCGGAGCGGCTATGTAGCCGACGAATTCGGCCTAATAGACGGCTACAAGACACGCGCAATGGACAAGAAAAAGGTCGACTTTAAAGTACACATCCGGCCCGGAGCCGACTATCACGGAAAGCCCAGCCCAAGCCCAGCCCCTCCAATCCCGCGAGGGAACATGGACCCCGCGAGCAGAGACCCCATCCGCCTATGGATTAGTCTCGACGGAACGGCCGTTGCGGGCATGTGGTTGAAGGTGCTAACAGCCGTCGCTACAACCATCATTAGCCGCCCCGGGATCCCGAATCGGGAGATATCTGAGGTGCTTTTTCCCTGTGTCTCGCTAGTCGAACTTGACGATATACTTGGGTGGCTGGTTGAGCGCGGGTGTGTGGAGCGCAGGGGTGAGGGGGCTGATGCGGTGAATTGGGCGCGTGAAGGGTATTTTCTGGCTTTCAAGGGGTTGGAATATCTTCCTGCTTGAGCTGTTGGGGGCGGTTGGTTTTGGGTGGTATTGTAAAACGGGGCCGGGCAGGGGACTGGAGTTTGTTTGTTTGGTTTGAGTACCTTTGTACAACAGTGCTTGGGATATTTGTGTACCTACTTTTGTTCTCCTGTATATTTGCTTTCTGCTGTATAATAGATACCATGGTTAGAGCGAGCGGGAGTCGTGCTATGGCCTCTGCATTTGAGTAACCGAGATTCATTGATCACCAATAATGGTGAAATTTTGTGAGGGCAATCTTTTATATGGCGGGGTAGTAATCCTGTGGCAGCAATCCTATGTTGGCGAGGGGTCTTACGAAGGTACAGCGTATAAGTTTTGTAGATTTTGCTAGTAGGGGTCTGCTGCAGACAGGAGGATAAGTGCGGCAAATCTGGTATAGTGGCTTGGCTGCTTGCATGACTTGGTAGTATGTGAGAGTGAAGAATTTTCATGTCCATGCCAGTGGACATGAAGACAAATTTGAAAAAGCTTCACAGAAGCTTCACAATCGGCAAGGTATTACTGACCTTCCAATAAAGCAACTTTTATTTCTCTTTCCATTCAGTCAACCGGAAGATGTCTGCTATTCTTCCACCACCCCCAGGCCCACCATCCCAACCAGCGTCAAAGACCACACATCTGATCCCCGATCAGAGGCGTGACTCTCAGCTGCTGTGGTCCATCAGCTGGAGATATGCAAAGATCCAGGAGCATACTGGACTTTCCCTTTAGCAGATTGGATATGAGTGCTCTTCAAGTTTTTCTTCGTTGGCAACTCCCAAAAAGTGATCAGGTCATCCTCCTGTGCTTACTCAAGCTCAATTGAGGATCTCATTGCCTATGTCTGTAGGTCAGCAAGGAATAGACATCTCTCCTATGAACAGCTGGCTGCTGAGCTGGATTTTGTAGTAGGAAAAACTGCAATTCAGGCAGCATTGATAAGAGAAGTGTTTCACAGACAGCTTGTGATGAGAAAACCATCCATCTCAGAATGAAACCGCATTATAAGACTTCAATGGGCCCAAGAACATGCAGACTGGACTGGAGAGGAGTGGAATTCCATCTTGTGGACAGATGAAACCTAAATCATGGGTGGGTGACATACTAGGACTTGGGTTACAAGAAGGGCAGGGGAGGAATAGGATCTAATATGTATAGTAGAAAAGCATCAGAGAAAGAGAGGATGAATGTTTTGGAGCTGTTTTCATAGTGATATGCAAGGTCCTGTAATATTTTAAGAGAAGGATTGGGGGTCTATCAACTCAGAAACCTACTGTACACATACTGTACGTATTATTTATAGGTATATGCAATTGTATCAGTGCGATAAGATTTATTTAAGGCTTATTGTAACGATCCCTCCTTGAATGGTTAGTTCTTGGCGACGGGGAACAATACTTCTCTTCTCTTTCTTCTCCTTCCTTCATCTTACAATAGAGCTAGGCCTCTGCCTACGTTACCAATAGTATAAGACTTTTGTCTTCAATCAGAAACGCCTATCGTAAGTTTTCTCTAACTCTTCTTCGTGAAGAGCCCTCCTTGGTGTAACAATATCGTTGCAATAAAGATAAAGATTGTAAAGTTGTTTTATATTCGTTAACGTAATAAGTAGGAAAAGTACTTAGAAGTCAATCCAATTTTATTTAAACTCGTACCGCCAATACTGGCATATGATGAGCCCCAGGGCCGGGCTCCCAGGTTATTGCATTCTGGATACCACTAACCACAAACTAACTAAACCTCCAACCCTGTACCTCAAACATGCCTGTGCCATGCCCCGATACGAACACTAAATACAAAGCTATCATCGGCCAAGAAAGTCCTCCTCAGCCCAGCCTACCCACCAGCCAAGTTATCCGTATAAAATACAAAAATTCCACTACCGCCACCTGAATGTGACCCCGCAAAAACCTTCTCCACAATAGAAACCCACCTGAGTGCCCCCACTCAATGATCCCAGGACACCCCGCCGACCGCCTCGGCACCCGTCCCCATACCCAAACAAAAGAAACGCCCAAAAGCCCAAGCACATAGACCCAAGGGAAAGTCGACTTACAGTGTATAGGCTCCCTAGCCAAGGGGGTACGAACCGTCATAGAGAATCCGGGATACACCATATCGGCAGCGTTGTCCAAAAACCTTGACGGAAGCAGCTAGGACGATAGAGTCTCCAAGCTATCAGCACTTAACCAAACACACCCAGGTATTCAGCTACTCCTCTAACTCCTCAGCCCGCTCCGTGGGCGGCGAACCCGCAGCGGACTCCATAGCAGCCGGTTTGCAGTAGCGAACTGGCGAAGGCGATGACCCTTCTGAGTCGGGAACAAGTATCACGGGTGAGGTCTGGTCTTGCTTGACTCGGTGTTTCTTGTTTTTCTTTCTCTTCCCACCCCTAGGTGCAGGTCTAGTAACAGGAGTGAACGGGCCACCCTCATCACCACCTACCACCACAGGAGGGACACCACCAGAGGCATTACCCCAACCAGCCACAGAGGGCTCAGGCACCTTTCCCCCCGAAGGGGGTGATACCACTGCAGCTGGTGTCACCACGCCAAGATCTACCCCGCCCACACCAGGAGCAAGCACCTCCTCTAATCCTGACGAATCAGGAACAGGACCACCCACACCACCATCCACAACTGTAGCTGCAGGGGGGGCAGGGATAACTGCCGGTGCAACCTTCTCCTGAGGGAGCTCTTCTACTTGACCCTGAGGATTCTCAGGGTCTAGCCCACCCCACCCAACCGAGACCACCGTAGTAACCGAAGTAACTGAGGGGACAGGTGAAGAGGGGATAACTGTAGGAGCTTCAGCCGCCAAAATCGTGACCAAACCACGAACAGTATCGCGTTCAGAGGCTAGGGCAGCCGACAAGGTAGATATCTCTTTCTCAGCGTGATGAAATCGCCGAGAAAGGATGGAGATGTGATGCCGAAGGCGAGAGACTTCAGCCTCGAGGGCAAAGTTCTTCTCGACGGCATGAGACAGAACCACCGATGAATGTAAAGCAGACGTGGCGGAAGGGACAGAGGCTCGCTTAGCCATTGCGGCTATGAGGAGGCGACGTACACGAACAAATGTAAAGATAGGTAAATGGAAGAAAAAACTTCCAGCAATCGTAAAGGAGGGATTAACAACGAGGTCCCCAAAAGGTGATCGAAGTTAAAGACTTGAAGCCTGTCGTGAGATAGAAATCAAGGGCTCTGATTGGACCGACACCAAACCTTCACGTTCCGACATGGTGTGAAAGAAGAAGGAAAAGTACTTAGAATTCAATCTAATTTTATTTATACTAGTACCGCCGACACTGGCATATGACCAGTCTCCCCCACGCCCTATAAAACAACTATCTAAAATACACTACCGCAGACCATTCCGCCTCGCAATCACTCCCCCCAAACATAAATCCAAAAATCACTACCTAAATGGGCTCATGGGCACTCGCAGCAACTAGTGCTACTGTAACTGGTACGGGTACTCGGTTATTGGTTTTGTTTTATGTTTTGTTTTAAGTATCGCTTGATACTTGGTTTGTTTTAAGTATCGTTTGATACTTGGTTTTGTTTTATGTTTTGTTTTAAGTATCGCTTGATACTTGGTTTGTTTTAAGTATCGTTTGATACTTGGTTTTGTTTTATGTTTTGTTTTAAGTATCGTTTGATACTTGGTTTTGTTTTATGTTTGTTTTAAGTATCGCTTTGATACTTAAAGAGTTTTACCAAAGTGTATCGATTGATACCTTTGATTAGTTTCGTTCATGCTAGACATGA